ACAGCCCAGGGCATTTCCAGCTCATATTCATGTTAGTATTTAGTTATATTCTCCTTCCCACCCCTCCTCCTGCCTCGTGCTTGTGAGTTAGATGTAATGTAACTCTCAGCACCATGCTTGCTTATATGCTCATGCTCCTCACCATTGTGGTCATGGACTCTACCACTTTCTTTTTTTTACCATGATTACCAAATGAAATACTTTGTTTTATAAGTTTCCCTGGTCATGCTGTTCATGGGAATAGAAAAGTAATTTAAGACACTTACCCCAGCCTCTGTGGTTCAAGCGTTGTAATTCACTGTGTTCCACAAGTGACTCTGAAGCAGCACGTCCACAGGTCTTTTGTTCTAGGGACTCCTAGGATAGTGGGGAAAGAGTTGGGGTTCCTTCTGAAAACCCTCTACCTAGAGCTGAGGTAGCTTTTGCGGGATGTCTGAAACCATCCACTGCGTCACCATTTTCTGCCTACAGTCTCCAGCAATGGTCAGCTCCTTTTCAGCTTGGCAGATAGCCTCTGGCAGTAGGAGGGGAGTCTCCTGCTGTCCATTGCAGTCTGAGCTCACTGGTTACTAGTAGCTGAAGAAGGAAGCATTGTAGGTCTATCCCACTCCAGCTCTCGCAATCCTCCTTTCCCTCTTCCTTTTGCCTCCCATTTTATATTCCACAGTCACTCTGTGGGGAATCTGTTCTTTCCTGAGAACAGCTGCAAACTCTTTAGAGATTATTCTTTTAAAAGTCTTTTACTTTAATCTGCTACATGTTTTCTACTATTGATTTTTTAAAAAAAGAACTGAAGCTTGTCATACCACTGGGCTGTAGATATGCAATAATGTCATTTAAAACTACATGCATCAGCAGAATACGCTCGTCACAGTTGCAGACTAACTAGACCTGGCAGTGTATACAGAAAACAATGGACGATGGCCTGGAGAGATGGTTCAGCAGTACTGGCAGCTATTCCAGAAGACCCAGGTTCAAGTCCCACCACCTACATGGCAGCTCACACTGTCTGTAACTGCAGTTCCAAGGAATCTGACACCCTCACACATTGGTGTGTACACCAATGTAAATATAAAGAAAACTTAAAAATAAAAAAAAAAAAAAAGAAAGAAGTCAGTGGACAAAAGTCTCCAGGCATCTTGTGCAAGTGATGAATTACAAAACATCACACAGTAACTTTGCTATGGAAAAGCCCTGCAGACAGAGAAGGGCAGGATGGTTCTGTGGGACTTTCCCCCCGTTATAATGGGCTCAAATCTATACAGAGAGAAGGACAGGTTGGTTCTATGGGACTCAGGCTGGTCAGGAAGAAATATCAGATAAGCCCTACCATGAGGTATATACAGATATCTAACCACTGTCCTTCAGAAATGCCAAGCTTAAGTAGATAAGCAAAACCAAAGGAACTGCCATAGACCAGAGGAAACTCAGTTGTAACAATGAAATGCTACGCCGGATCCAAGGTCAGCTCCTAAAACAGAGAAGGAGCACACCTGGGGAAATACTAGTATAGTCTAGAGTTTAGGGACTGGGGAGGCAGCTCAATTGGTAAAATGCTGTCATAGTTTGGACCTCCAGCACCTACATGCCCACTGTTCTATAATTAGAGTACTGGGGAGTCAATGAGAGACCTTGCCTCAAAAAAGTATAATGTCATATTGGAGAAAATTCCCACCATCAATCTCTGGGCCTCTGCAGGAGCATACCTGCATATACACAAACACACACAAAGCCCAGAGTGTAGTTAAAACTGTGACTGCAAGCCTGTTTACAAGTGTGGTGGGATTGTAAAGTTCTACTCGTGCTCTGAGTGAAGCTGAATGAGATGTGAGCACCTGCTATTTTCTGCCCTTTAAGTGACTCTAATTTTGCAGCGAAATAAATAAATAGGTAGGTAGGTAAGTAGGGAGGAAGGAAGGATAAATATGTAGGAAAAACAGATTTGTTTAGTAAATGCCTATAGTGGCTTATTTTGTAAGATTAAAATTCCACTCGGCCTGTACCTCTTCCTCAAACATACTTTTATGCTCTAGCAAATTATACCATTTATTGTTAATTTGCCTCTTCGGGTAGAACAAAGCAGTGCAGTTTTTGTGTATGTGTGAAACACAAACAAGTCTAGCTACATACGCACAGCTCACACCTTAAAGGAGTAGAGCAGAGCCCACACCTTTGTGTCTCCTGCTTTCTGGCATCCTGCCTTTCTGTCCCCTTCTTGCCACCAGCACAAAACTGCTTCCAGTCGAAGAATAATCAACAGTTTATTTTGCATTTTTCCAAAACACATAATTACATTCTACTATGTAGCTTCAACTTTTCTCCATATATGTATGCATGTTTTTTTTTTAATCCTCTGTTGTGTACATTTCCATCAGAGCACCCCAGTATTCATCCTTTCTCCCATTGCAGATATAGTGAGGATTTGGGGTTTGGTTTTTAGTGAGTAGTGGATATTTCATATATCTTCTCTGAGGCCAGAGTAGATCTTTTGAGCTTTAGTAACAGCATCAATACTTATTCTGTTGCCTTCCATTAGAATTGCTTTTCTTTAATATTAGATTCAAAATTTTTCAAGGGTCTAATTCCTGAGTGAACATTATTGGCCTAATAAGGATCTAGTGTTGATTGAGTAAGTAAATATTTTAATTAATTAAATACTACCTATATATCTTGAGTATACTTAAGTATTTATGTAGTGTTGCCACCCTAGTATTTTTGTTATTAGAAAGATCTATGCAGTATAGGCAGCTGGTCACTGAGGTGGAAGTTTGGAGCCAAACTGAAACCTACAGCTTTAAAGTGAGGAATCGCTAGTAAGCTTGGCAGCAACCGTAGGCACAGCTGCTCTGTGTTCATCAAAGTAGAAGTTGTGACCGGAATTGTTTTCCTTTCCTTTGGCATCACAGAGGGAACAGAAGTTCACTGATTTGTACTGTAGTAAAATTCTCACTTCTGCATATTATTCTCATTAGAACACTGTACTATTTTTGATCATTTAGGATTTGTTCCCAAAATGGAAGTATCCATGTTAGTCACCCCCAACCCAGTATTTTATTCAGATGTTTCTCATACTCTACAAAATATTCACCAGGTTTTACAACCCGCTTGCCTGTCTTACCTGATTTCTTCAGCAGCTTGGTTCCATATAAGTAGCGTTAATTATCATCAGTATTTTACAGGCTACTAATACTGCAGAGGAAGCTGAAAGACTGACTCAGGGTCACAGAAAACCAGAACTTTCAGCATAGTCCTATCCAGATGTTAAAGTTTTAACACTTATCATAAAGAAACATATTACTGACGATGTTATTGTGTCTCCAGTATCAGTGACATAATGCCCACTTGACAGCTAGTAACTGTTCTGATGCTGTTAGTGACAGACTGGTAGCTGCTTTTGTTGCTCTCTCTGTTTTTTAACAAAATTACCCAGGAAAAGCTTGAGACAAACAGTGCAGTAGAAGACAAGGAAATCCTTTAAGTGAAGCATATGGAGAGGTGTGACCAGCTTAAAGCTACAGTATCCAAGAAGACAAATTGCTTTTTGATAGCTTTGAGCCTACTGATGAATTAACACCTCTCCACATACAGAGTGTAGCTGATCACTCAGATTGCACTTTTTAAGCTGCAGAGGCAGTGCACTTAGGGTACTGTCTTCATGTCAGAAATGCACTTTTGTGCTTGAAAATGATAAAAAATTACAATCGATCCCTACAACTGTTCTGTTCATCTTTATTGATCAGGTGCAAGAAAGATAAATCGTAGCCCAAATAAGATTATAGTAAATGTTAGCATCGTAGAGGACTGGAGGTTGATATAGAGCCATTCATCATCTCAAATGGTGACCTGTTCATGGCTCCAGCCACCCTAGTCTGCTGTCTAATCACATACCTATTGATTTTATCTGCATCTTAGAAACCTGGATGTGACTGTCATTGGGCGACCCGGATTGTTAAATGCAAAGGGGTCACCAGTGTGAGGAGGCTTTCATTTTCATTTTCTTACCAACCAACAATGATTTATTAAAAAATAAGCTACCCAGGCTGTGGGTGTGAAACCCGAGTGATTAGGGAGTGAAAGCACACAATAGGACCCTGTATTGTGTTGCATCCTTCTCACTGCCCAGTCCTTTTCAGTATGCTCCATTGAATCTGAGCGCTCATGGGTCATTTATGCCAACCCCTCTGGTAAGATTGCTTTCAGAGCAGCAAGCAGCTAGTCAGAATGGATGGATTTTAGTCCCGCTATGCTGGGAAAGGCATTGGTTTGCTATTGCACCTTGCCTGGTATTGTTCCTATCAAATAGGACAGCCTTTTTTATGCTAAGATTATTAAGTCTGCCTTTTGTTTTTAAATGTTGTTACAAATGTTGAGGTTCTATTACTCATGTGAAAGTGAAAGAACAAACTATCTGTTTTATCAGTCGCCTTGTCTCTCTCTCTCTCTGTCTCTGTCTCTGTCTTCCCTGTCCTCCAAACAAGGGTCTGGAACTTGCCATATAGACCAGGCTTGCTCAGAACTAACTTTCCCCTCTGCCTCCTGAGTGCTGAGATTAAAAGCATGTACCTTCATGCTTGGCTAACATTCATACAGAACACAAAATATTATGTATCACTGTGAATGTGTGTAAATTTTGTTTTTTGAGCTTAAGAATCTTTTGATTTTCTAGTCTTAGGTAACCACATAAGATAGTTCTAAGACATCCTTCAAAAATATGTTAGAAGTTTTCTCAGAAGGCTCAAATAATGATGAATTAATAGTATGATCATCTGTATACACATATATTTATGTACCAATGTCAGTACTGCCATTTAAATTAGTGCCTGTCCAGCTATTTAAGTACTTTTTAAGTATTTAAGTACTATTTAAACCATTTAAAAAAGAAATTCCCTTACTTCTGCTGTGCCTGCAAGCAACAAGGTCGCTTCTATTTTTTAAAATTGTAAATCTTCAGAACATTTTGTCTTTTTGCATAGTGAAAACATTGTCAACTTTGTCCACAGAGCTCAGAGTTCTACAAAGTCACCACCGAGGAGTATCAGAAAGCTGCTGAAGAGGTAGAAGCCAAGTTCAAGTAAGTTCTTCACCCTGTGCTGGCCTGTCCTCCGATGAGAGCTCATTTGAGTTGCTTTCTGCATCAGACTTGCCCTTGTGATGCTTGGGCTGGGGATTGCTTGGAAGTGTTTCTGGGTGGTTGGGATGTAGCCATGTTGTCTGCTTTTTTGAAACATTTGATTAAAGATTGTTGCTGCTTAACCCATTCTATGAACTAAGTAGAAAATGAAGGAAATGGTAAGAGAATTTTCACTTGGAATAATAGCTAGCATAGAGTGGCCTTAATTATGGAGGTTGTAGTAGATACCACCTTTCTTAATTGGAACACAGAAAACATTCACTTTTATGTAGTAAAATGGTGGGCAGGACCAAATTTGGATATCTTCTTTTTTTACAGTTAATCTATTTTTATTTCTTCACAAGTACCTTAAACACATTCAAATCATAGACTGTATCTTGCCCTTCATTATGAAGGTGATGTTAAATTGCTATATCTGTTACCTTGTGATATCTAAGTGAATATTCTGTAATTGATGGATCAAAATACCCATGACCCCAGCCTTATTCATTCTTCTTTACCACCAGTTCTCATATTAGGTAAGAAGATATTTTACCCCTGCTAGTAACACATGTACAAATTAGTGAAGAAAAAAGGATGTTGTGACAGATTTAGTTTAAAGATTACATTTAGCTCTGACCTTATTCCTTGCACATTGTTTATAGGTGTTTAATAAAATGACTAAATCTTAAGGTAGAATTATTAGTTTCTCCTTCGGTGTGGTTTGTATGGTAATGGATATTTGTGTTACTTTAACGTTGATTAAAATTAGATTTTTTTTTTTAAAGATCATTTGAAGTATATTTAAATAGATGGAAACTTTCTATCTTTCTTAGTGAAAAAATGAAGGTGGAGGGGTTGGGAAGATGGAAGAAATCTCTAAGACTGAGGCACAATTCAACCAATCAGTCATTGTCTCATTTATTTTTTTGAAGACAGAGTCTTGTGTGGCCCAGGCTACTCTCAGACTTTTATGATAGCAGGACTTAAATTCCCAGGTCTTTTGTCTCCTACCACACAAGTGCTGCAGTCACAGATACGTGCCACAGGTCTCATTCTTAGAGAGGAAGAGACTTTAGGTAAAGGGCTAGGGACATACATTTGGTAGAGCATTTGCCTATTATGAACAAGGACCCTGATTCTATCCCTGAGACCACATTAAACAACCTCAACCTGAGATATATAAGATACTGTTTCCAAAACAAATTTAGGGAAAAGGTTGGGTGTTGAACTAATACTGAAAAGTAGTGCTGTAGTTACACTTTTTTTTGGGAGCGGGGGGCTGGGGGACTATTGTAGTTGTTTATCTTTGCTCTTGATAAGAGTCAAGAACAAAAGGTTCTAAAACCTTTTGTTTTCATACTTTGGGAGCCTTTTACTTGGCATTCTGGATATTTCTTCATTATAGAATAATCACTATTAAATAACTTAAGTTTAAGTGAAACTGATGCAGACTAAATGATCTGTAGAGTCTTCATAAAGGATATATCATTTGTCTGTGACATGAAAAAAGTATTGAGGAGGTGGAAGAGGAAGATGTCCGGAAGGAAAATATTCCTGTTTTGTTAGTGGGTGACAACGTTAGTGAAGATCAATGGCTTGACTCAAGAGATTATTAGCACAAGATAGAGCTGCAGAGGTCACAGGTCGCCATCTGCCAGGCTGAGGTTGTGTCTTCATTTAGTAAGAATTCAATGGGAGGGGTTTGAGCCCAAGAGTGCCTTAACTTCAGTGTGTTGTAGGAATAGATAGCTAATGGCAGGTGTGAGGCTTGGTTGGACATATAAGAAACAAGAATCAAAAGTACCAAGTGGGAGTCCTCAGCAGTTAAAAGAAGACTCATGCAAAATGCTTGCTAAGATTGGATGTGAATTAATAACTGTCTAATGGATTAAGCTACAGGCTTTAATGAATGATGACACCACTCATTATTCGGGGTTAGATTCTTCTGAAGCCTCTCGCCATGGCCTGCAAATGACCACTTTCTTCCTGTGTGTCTTCACTTTGTACACATCTTCTAATCTCTAGAACCTACCTTTTTTCTTCCTTCCTTCCTCCCTCCCTCCCTCCCTCCCTTCCTTCCTTCCTTCCTTCCTCCTTCTCTCTCTCTCTCTCTCTCTCTCTCTCTCTCTCTCTCTCTCTTTTTGTGGAAACTGGTTCAAGCTTTGTAGATCTTCCTGTCTCTGCCTCCCAAGTGCATACTAGGATTAAAGATGTGCCATCAGCACCATCCCTCAGTCACCCCTTTACATACTCTAAATGCAGTCACATTTCAGTGTAACAGGCATTAGGGTTTTAGTATATAAATTGTAAGTTAAGAATGACAGTTGAATTCTTCATTCTTTGGATAGACGAGGCAAAAGAACCAAGATTGTGAGTTTAGCAGATTAGAAAACTGGTATGCTGATTCTTCTAGAAGGAAATGTCTGGTTTGGGATGAGAAAAATCACTCTTGAGGTACTCCACTGAGCAATCCTGCCATGTATTCCAGATTTGACTACTGGAAAATAAGAATGAGAGAACCATGGTCAAAACACTCATGTGGTATTTTGATGGCTTCTACAAGAAAATGTGGACCTGCTCAAACTTAGTTATGAACAGAACTCCAGTAGCATCATTCTCTTACCATCTGACATAATATCATTTATAAGATCCAGTTGGTGACTAAGGCTTTGCCTTTGCCATAGGCAAGTTCAGATTTGCATCAAGCTCCTTGAGAGATAACCTCTAAATCCTTGGAACCTCTCTCATAGTAGAAACTTTTATTTATGTCAGGCTCCCCAGCTCATATGGTATGGGGTGATAGGACACCAAAGACTGAATCAAGAGACCTCAGTGAGACTGTGCACTAAAGCATGGGTATGCTCCCCTGGCTAGCAGCGTTGTGAGTAGATGGTCACATGTCATTGGCCAGGTGACTGACCCTGCGGGCAGTATCAGCTCTGCATTTGGATCTCTCCAGACTGCCTAGACATCTCCTTTGGCTAATTTTTTTTTTACCATTTCCCAGCAATGAAGAACCTTAACCTACCTTGATTTACAGTGAATTCTCTGAGACTTTTTAGTGAATTCTCTCTTTTAAGGCAGTTTGGGAGCCTTCCAGTACTTTTTGTTTTGTCAGCAGGGTAGTCTGTGAAGTCCCTTCAGACTATATCATTTCCCCAAATCCAGTGCCAACAAATGTGCAGGTTTCATTCACACTCTATGAAGAGGCTTTAGGATTCATACTGTAGAGAGAAGCTCTTACTGTACCTGTATCATTTTCTGCTGAGCTGAGCATCCCCAAGTGCCCTATTTTGATTTGCATTGTGACTATGAGAGGGGATTTCTGTCTTCAAAGACTAAAAATTACTTAGAAGAGTCCAGTGTCCCATTAGAAGACTGACCATCTTAAAATGTCATGGCCCTCCATCTGTTCCAAAGCAATGTACTATATTTTACTACATAACAGCCATCTTGTCTGGCCCAGTGATTCTGGCTGCTTCCTGTCCACACACCTGTTTAGCTTCTGTGAGGTTCTCTTTGAAGGTTCTGACCATCTTGAACCTGAACTCAACAGTCTTACTTAAGCCATGAACACAGAAGAACATTTAGTGAGTTCTGTTTGCTAGAGGAGATTGACTGAGATGCACCTTGATTGACTGCAGGAAATGGATACTATTTACATTGCTATTTTAAGGGTAATTTTATATGGGTAAAATGGGGCTCACATGAAGGCAGCAAAAAAAAAAAATAAATAAATAAAGTGAAGTGGCACATGACTAATACCTTCATGTCAGCTCCTTCTGCCAAGACATTCCAGGGCCAGTTAAAAATACTGGCTTATGATTCGGTCTGTCAACTAGAATTTGCACAGTAAACTATTTGGGCACATGAGAATTAGTGGGGTTTCTGTGTTCCTACCTCACCTATGTGGCATTCATCTCTAGAAGCTGCGGTGTGGCCCAGCCCTGTTGTGTTCTATATGTTTGTGAGGAGGGCAGGTGGCCTTACTGGAGTGGGATCTATGCTACATCACAAAAGAAAAGATCAGCTTTTCTTTTTTGTTGTTTTTAAAACAAAGTTTTATTACATTTTGAGTGGAATATTAAAAATCTCAAACATTCTGATCCACATTTAAGCAATATTGATATATCAGGACTTATTGAAATGAGCATGTTCTTTGTCCCAGTGATTCTACTTCTGAGGATTGTTTCTTTTCTTTTTTTTTTAATATTAGTTACAGTTTATTAACTTTGAATCCCAGCTGTATCCTGCTCCCTCATTCCCTCCAATCCCACCATCCCTCCCACATCTCCTCCCTGCTCCTCTCCAAGTCCACTGATAGGGGAGGTCCTCCTCCTCTTCCATCTGACCTTAGCTTATCAGGTTTCTTCAGGACTGGCTGAAAAGTCCTCCTCTGTGGCCTAGCAAGGCTGCTACTCCCTCGGGGGGTGGGAGGGGTGTCAAAGAGCCCGCCATTGAGTTCATGTCAGAAATAGTCCCTGTTCCCCTTACTAGGGTACCCACTTGGATACTGAGCTACCATGGGCTACATCTGAGCAGAGGTTCTAGGTTATATCCATGAATGATCCTTGGTTGGAGAAACAGTCTCAGAAAAGACCCCTGTGCCTTGTGGTCCTTGTGGAGTTCCTGTCCTCTCCAGGTCATATTAACTCCCCATTTTTTCTTATGATTCCCTGCACTCTGCAGAAGGTTTGGTTGTGAGTCTTAGTATCTGCTTTGATACACTGCTAGGTAGAATCTTTCAGAGGCCTCTGTGGTAGGCTCTTGTCCTGTTACTTGTTTTCTCCTACATCCAATGTCCATCCCATTTGTCTTTCTAAGTGAGGATTGATCTAAACATACTGAAATCTATACACCTAAAGAAGATAAACAAAAAAGACCAGCTTTTCAAATGAAGATCCTTTCAAAAATCCAGACACTGTTGTAATGAGCTTCATCCCTAAGATATTGTAAAT